AGAACCGCCGCGGCCCGACCAACAGTTTCGTTGCTTAGACAGAAGCATTGGCAAAGCAATAATTAAAAAAACCCACCCTAAAGAATTCTCCATCTGGAACTACTTTAAGTATTTTATTGTTAGCAAAGGAACAGCTTAGTAAGTCGACAACTATGGGGCAAATAATTAATCTGTGGCAGTACCTGGCCAGTGCTGGCTGGAGGCTGTACTTGAGATATCGGGTACTGTGTTGGCACAGGCGGAACTCCTGTGGGCAGTGTTGTTAAGACTCCAGGGGCCAACGGCACTGCAGGTGGTACTATGCCTGGTACACCGTACGGTGGCTGAACTGGTTGTTGGGGCGGGGGAACCACAGGATATCCAGACTGATACCCATTGGAGGGGTAATAGGATGGCTGGGAAGGTACGTTATTTATAGCAGCGGGCTGCGTGAAGCCTGGTGAGAGAAAGGGGGGGAAAAAAGGGTCATCTTCAATTCAGTTAGGGTCACAAAAGCATCAAATTTAATCACCAAAAGCAGCTGGACTCTTTTTCAATGGAAGGACTTAATTTAAAGCTTCCACAGGTAAATAAACTCCACAAAACTAACCGCAAGTACAACTCTGCAGAATGCAATGCCAAAGGCTTCACAGCGCTAACGTTTACCTGCCAAGGGTACCGCCGTGGTTATCTGGTTCACAAAGCGGGAGTATTCAGCATGAACCTAGAAAGAATTTTCAAAGATTAGACCATAAACATCTGTTTACTCTATTAACCTTTTGCAGGCAAAAGGCATCTTACCACGCATCCCTATAAACCTGCAAGGGGACTTTGAACATACTACGTACAACGACAGTGAAAACCCAACATAAAAACTGAAAACAAAACCCCACTGAACATCCCACTAATCCTGCTGGTCTCTTGTCCTGGTTTGGCTGGGATGGAATCCCAGCCCAGGCGCGCCAGGCAGGCCCTTAGCAGTTTGAGTCAGCCAGGGCAGCTGCCCTGAGTGAGCTGCAGGTGTAGCCCATCCCACAGTGTCGTGGCCATTATAAAGGGGGAAGGTTGGCTGAGGGAGGGGAGCTCCTGTGGGGTTCCTTCTGCCCCTCAGGACTGCTCTCCTGCCCCTTGTGACAGCTGGATATTCATCTGGCTGAGTGTAACTCTGTTGGTAGTGGTGTTGCTTCACTAAAATCTGTTCTCACTTCCACGTGGGGCTGCTCTCCTTTTCCCGATTCCCTTTCCTGACTGGTGAGGGGTCAGCAGGTGATAGAGCAACTGTTACAGTTTAGCCCCAGATACATCCTAAACACAGACACCTGACAGATTCAGGTAAAATACAGGATAATCTTTCACATGAAAAAGTGGCAAACTAATTACTTCACTAGAGACGAAGTGCTCCGAGTCAAAGAACCCAAAAGCTTCCATTATTTTTCAAAAGAGACTTTGTAGCCCACACTCAACTCTCAATACCAACAGAAAGACTCTCACGGGATTTTACTCTATTTACTCATACAAGAAAAGCTGAGAAATTAATTTTCCATGTGTACATGTGAGATCTTTTCCAAATTTTCTTGGGTACAACCATCACTTTAGGAACACTAAAGCAGACAGTGTAGCTCTGGCCAACATCTAAAGCTAAAGCAAGGGAAGCTACAGCAATCAGAAAAAAGCAGGATTCCTTCAGGTTAGCACAGTCAGACAGTTCCCTGCTTCCTTCCCCCTCCACCCCTCCCAGTTCTGCTCAGGAAGCATTTGCACTTTTTCTCCTAAAGATTCCACTGCTACAGCTCTGAGAAATGTTTAGTCACTGTACAAATATTAAACAGCAGCGCTTCGAAGGAAAAACCTATTTGCAAGTCAGAACACAGGGACACTTTTGCCGAGAGGGTAAAAAAAAAATCTCTCATTAGCTGGGCACACGCTAAAGCTACGACAGGCTCTGAAATCCCGTACTTGTAAGAGCTACTCACGGTTTGCAATAGGTTCTCACACAGCTTTTTAGCAGCTGCCAAACCTTCTGGCTTTGGGTGACTGAAAACACACACAAAAAGATACCTCATAAGCACAAACGTTTCCACCAAATTTTGGAGCTGCTTCTTTCAGCAGCAGCCTGCTGTCAGATCTTATCCCTCTGATCCGTCACCTCAAGAGGACTGTAGCAGCTCTGCAGCTATTTAGCACAGTTGTGAACAAAAGCCATGAGTATTTATTTTCTACATGAAAATTTAGGTTAGTCTCAATACCGCAAGAAACCAGCACAGGACACTGCCTTGACTGGTCAATGCACTTTGTGTTCTTCCTTTCAAGCTCAACATCACACCCCAAGCCCCAAAAGAAGGCAGCTTTACTGTGTTCCCAATAAAAGCAACACCTTATGGTTGAACATCACCTTGTACCATATCACCATATGGTCGATATTTTTATCACTTCAGAGATCTTTATTAAAGGAAAAGTTTGAAAGCTTTCACTTGCTTTAAGTCAGTCGGAATTAAGACTTCTCCACACTGATTAAACGTTAAGCTACATTCCCAAGTGGTCACTGGGATTTTTGCATTTTTTCTTAAAACCCCCCATACCTGATGTAGATGTACATGGGCTCAAAAGCTTCTCTGCCCGATGCCGGTTCTATGCAACCTGAGCCTTTCCCACGAAGAAAGACTTTGGCGCCTGTTTCAATTTGAATGTGCTGCAAGTAGGAGCAACCCGGCCCTTCCACCTTCTCCTTCACATTAAAGGTAGGTACAGCGTGTTCCAGGCCAACAAACAACTTGTCCTGAACATAATGCATCTGCAAATGTAACGGTAAAACTCATTATTTCCCTCCAAGAAGGAGGATGTTCATTTCACTGGAGTCCAGAAATCATATTTCTACGACAGTCAGAACAGCCAGGTGTCGGATGGCACAGTCAGCCCTTTGCTTTTCTGTAGGTAGGACTGCTCTCTCCATCTCTTTCCTTTTAGGAGGCTACCATCATCCGAGTCTCACTCTTCAGACTCAGTCTGATTAGTCCTCCAGTTTTTGCAACACACACGGTGGGTTTTTATTTTATTTTGGCTTTTTTTTTTGGTGTGGCTGGGTTTGGTTGGCTTTTTTTAATAAATAGCACACTACATGTCTACTTTGTAATAGGTAAATCTTGTAATCAGTGATATTCAATGAAATCTACATAAAGGAGTTACTCACCCCTGACTGGAATGGAGGTTTTTGGCCAACTGCTGGAGACAACTGAGTAATAGGGGCTGGCTGGTGATAGACTGTAACTGTGGCTCCGTTGAAGGTGGGACTCGAACCTGTGGCCGCTTTCACTACTCCATTAGTAATGATCTCCTTAATTCGGTTAACGGCTCCTGGTTGACAGAATGTGAAATTCATTTCTACTTCGGCCTGGTCAACTGCCCAGATGAACCAGACGATGACACGACTAGGTGACCTTCCCGTTCTCTGTGACAATGGATCTACAGGCACAAAGCTTGGCTCTGACAGCAGGGCCCAGCATCAGCATTCTGGGATCGGATCACAAAGGATGGCAACAAGCAGCAGGGTGCTTTCTCCGCTCCCAGCCTGATAAAGCTCAGGCTAATACATGCCTCATTTTGGCATTCACTAGAATTTCAGCAAATGCTAGAAACATTTACATTAACCCTGTACAGAATTCACATCTGCATGAATGAGCAAACTAACACATGAAAAATTGTTCCCTGGCTGTGGAAAGGAAGGTAGATACAAGTGGGCAGCTGCAAGTGTCAGGAGGCAACTGAGGGCAAGCCCACGAACTGATGCACAGAGCAAGCAAGCATCTGAACAGTCTGTAGTTTTCCTTTTTGCCCAGCAGGCACAGGCAAGACAGGATTCCTCGTGCTTTGAATGGAAATTTAGATGTTTCACAAAGAATGTTCATATGTGCTCGTTACAGAGAAGCTCTGCCCATCACCCACCTCTGGTAGTGGGATCTCAGCACGTCACCGCTAAGAGCTGTGCCTGCCTAGGAACCCTACTCACTCCCCGCACCTTCCTTGTAGTCTATCAATAAAATTTTAGTCTCCTGACGAATGCAGTGCACAGCACCTTAGGTAGTTCTGAGCAGAGATCTTAAAATCAACGTTTAAACGGGGTCTGCTGTCAACGCACAGACAGACAGAGTACAAATCTATACCGGTCATACAAAGCCCTGTAGCAAAACCCCTTTATCACAAACAATAAGAGAAAAACCAGAATGCTCTGTACACTTACTGTCAACCAGTTCCCGTGTCTGACCCTGGACATGAAGATACAAAGGACGATCTCTGGAAAGGAAACGTCAAATATTCCATTAAACCCACAGAGAACATACATTAATGGATTCAATCTAATTATATTAGTCATTTAGACACATGAAGTCTCCCATAAAGATTTGAAATACTCTTCAAATAAGGAAGTAAATATTTATTCACTGAATATCACAGTGCTCAGTAAGCAAAGCTTTGCACTGAAAACTAAAAAGAGTCACAAGTTATTTACAGGACGACTTACTAAAGTCCTACCACTGAAAGCGTTAATTTGCTTGTCCACATGAAAGGTTAACTAACTAAAAAGCACCAAGTCTATGAAATATCAGCTCTCCATAACTGGAAAGTTGCCCATTCTCGGCAAAATGCACAAGAGATCCAGTATAGTTCAGTCAAAGTTCAGCACAGTCTGATCTGTCACATTTGGGCTCTGTTGGGGTTTTTTTATTTCACCCTATCAACACTGAGCAGGGAGGGAAGCAGCTATGCAGTCAGTACTATCATAGTCAATTTGCTCTGGTGCCCAAAGGTGACACTGCTCCTGAAAACCAAACCAACCCCACCCACCACTTCACCACTCAATGAGGAATAAAAGCAGAAACACCCAAAAAAGAAATACAAACCCAGGTCCCACTTTTGCTTTCTCTTCTGCAGTCATGAACCTCCCTCGCGTAGAGACAGCTGCTCCACTCAGTCGACTTATCTACAAAGAATTTAAAAAACCCAGGGACAAGTTTACCAACAATACCCAAGCACACACAGACACCCCAAAGTGGTTTCAGCCCTGCTGTTGTTGTACACGAAGACCAAAGGCATTAACAAGCGGCACGGGATGGCTGGTGCCCGCTCAAGGATACGAGCTCCACTACCTCACCTCCTCACAGGGCATTCCATCGAACAAACCACAAACTGCTAAAGGTCTCAGAAAACACGATGAGTGTTTTAACAAGAGGAAACAACCACTGAATAGTTGCGAGCTCTTTTAACCTTACAGACAGGTACCACCGCGCTGCCCAGCAGAACAAACCAGAGGAAGATCCTGGACATACCTCGTCCTGCGTCTGTCCTCTCGTCAGCAGGTTTCTGCACGTGAGGGGGACATCGTTGATTTCCACCTCTGCCACCACTAGGTCATCTTTGCTTTTACTTGTAGCTGGACCTTTTCCCAGAGCCTGCAGCTTCAAAGACAACCGTTGCAACAGACCAGTGGTTGGAAAGCAGAGATGAATGACGTAACAAAGTGACCCTAGTACTCTCGGGGTGAATATCCTTTTCACGCTCCCCTTTCAGCCGTGGAACCCAAAAGCTTTACAAATCCTAGCAGAAAGCACACGGTATCTACTACTCAATAATCTACCTCTTCCCAACCGTGAGCCCAAATAAAAGCACTAGTGTTACATTAAAATGGGATGAAGATAAAAATTACTGTTTCTGTTCTGTAAATGGAGAAACCGATGTAGAACCAAGCAGTAAAGTTGCTCAAATGGAAACCAAAGCATCTGCCACTTGAATTGGCACCTCTTGACACAAATCCGTGCGACTAATAAAACATGTAATTCACAGACAGAATTTAGAATTTCTGTTCAAGACCTGAACTCATCCACACTGTGACTACACTTCCCCCTGCCTCCTTTCTTTAAAACAAGGGCATAATACTTCGTGTCGGTATCCAAGTGCTGAGAAAGAAAAAGCCACGGAGTCACAAGCAGATTCAGAAGAGCTGGAGTTACAACCGAGACCTCCCACGTACAGAGTCAGACAGCACACCCCTCTGAAAATTCTGGAGTGCTTTTGGGGACATAAACGTGAAACAAGACTCTGTAAGAGGAGAACCATCCAGTAACATCCCAAGCGTATCTGTCCACGCTCGTAACTCCACATGAAGCACGGCACTTGCATGAGAGCCAGAAGGCAGCTACAGAAGGACATAAGTAACGCATCGTACCTGCATCTATTTCTCCAATCCTTCCACACTTCAAAAAAAAAAAGTACATTCATTAACCTGCAGGGTCCTTAACTTCCATTCACTCACAATGTGAAGTGCCCTCAGAGTTAATTACTCTGGAAATGTCATCGCTGAACATTCCCTAACAAAAGCAACGTGTGCAATAAAAAACTAATCCCATTTGCAAATTAATTAATTGGTTAAGTGGTTCTCACAAGATGCCAGAATGCCACTAGAGCTCACGGAAAAAGCACGGATGGAAGAACGAGACACCGCAGTATCTCCCAACGTTTAGGAGTCTCGAGCTGCCGGCCAGCAAACAGCCTTCACTCCCACCTGGTGCCTGAAGCCAAGCCACACGCTCTGCAACGCCGAAAGTTCCACATCCTCAGGGGGACGTTAAGCACTGTCAGGCAGACAGCACCGCGCAGCAAACCGTGCGTAAAACCACCTACGATGCCGACAGCAACGCCCAAAGAAACTCTCGCTACTACAGCGCACGTATCAAAAAAGCTGCAGCGATCACTTCCGATACAGACCCTACAGGGAACCAACGGCAGCGACGACGCGGCAGGGCACGTTTGCCGCTCTGTCTTATACTATCTGTGAAAAAATCCAATGGAAAAACGAATACTCATTCTGATGCTGCCTCACCAGGCAAACCCTCAGAACACAACGGGCAGTCCCACCAATCCCACAGACGTGAAAAGGAAGAGACGACACGCCGTGACAACATACTCTTCTTGTTAACTTTGTATTTGACCAAGTTTGGAAGGAAACTTGAAACAGCCTTCTAAACTTGGCTCTAGCATAGGCTGATACCACGGAGAAAAGCAAGACTGTTCCTGTCCTTAAACAGGCTTTAAGTCACACTTGCTTTAGAACAGAAAAGTTCAGCTGGAAGGGACCTACAAGGACCATCTAGTCCGACTGCCTGACCGCTTCGGGGCTGACCAAGGCTCAGGTCAGGGCTGACCAGAAGCTGACCGAGCTGTTCACAACTTGGGCATACGGCTCCTACTGACGGCCTTCTTTAAACGTGACAACAACGTGGTCTCATATTTTAAACTCGCTGGTTTAGAGAGCGGCTCTTACATCAGCTGTACTACTTCGAAAACACTTCAGAAAAAAGTTTCTTATCTCCCTGCAGGTCGCCTCACAGCAGAGCAGCGGAACCGCCCTCCCAGCTCTGCCACTGCTTCCTGCTGTGCTGAGAAAAAAAATCAAAAAGGTTTCCCAGTTGTTTTTGGTTAGATCCTACCTTACAAAAGCAAACCTCCACCATTTCCGTTCTCATTAAGTTATTCCAACAAACAAAGGTCGCAGGTCTCCAGAAAACTGACGCGACCCCCTCCCTCGCCCACCACCTCCGGGCCGGGCGGTCCCACCGGCCCGGCGCGCCTCCTGCCCTCCCTGCGGGCACCCACCTTGTCCGCCGTGCTGGGCGCCGGCTTCAGCTTCCCTTTGGCCATTAACATCGCGTTGATTTTCGCGGCCACG